ACAGAGAGAAGTGTGATTACTAGGAGTAGAGGGAAGCGGGAAGTGGGAAATTGGTAATAATGTGTATCAAGTTTCAGTAATGCAAAATGAATTCATTCTAGAGATAAACAGTCTTAGAAAGTGTCACAGTATAGAGGAGTCTAAGAAGACATGACACGACTACCACCTTTGGTGGTATTCTGGATGGGATTCTGGAACAGAAAAATGATAATAGGTAAACACTAAGGAAACCTGAATAAAGTATGGCCTTTAGTTATTAATGTTATCAATATTAGCTCATTAGTTGAGACAGTTGTATTATACTAATGTTAGGTATTGACAGTAAAAGATATTGGATGTGATGTGTATGAGATCTCTATACTATTTTTGTAACTTTTCTGTTAGTCTAAAACTATTCTAAAATAGCATATATTTTTTAAATGCTGTAGGAATTCAGTTAAGAAAAATTTCTTGAGACTAAACCCAACCAGTTCTTTTCCTCATTAACCACATACATAAACGTTTGGTAAAATGAAAAATAGGTATTCTAGGCAAAAGATGAGTTGAGAAAGTCTTAGTGGCACCTGAAACAAGTTGTGAGAGACTTCACTGAAGTGTACTTTAGATTATTTGGGACCCCTAGTGACATCGCTTTGAAGCACAGGTTGAAGAAACAACTTGATCATTTCATATGCAGTCTGGTAAGAAACTGCCAAAGAATCTTAGTCTCAAATATTTAAATCTTGTGTAATTGGAGTCAATTATATAATGTCATCTACACACAAGATACTTGATAAAACTTTTTACCCTTAATTTATGGATTTGTATAATACTGTAGTCAGCTTTTCTGTGCTTTTCCCATTGAACTTAGAAATGAAACCTGCCTCTCCCTATATTGTATCATTTCACTCATGGCCTCATTAATTAGAATGGAGAAGAGTTCAGCCTTTTCTACTCTCCATCTTCTACTTCCTACTTTCCCATACCATGCTATGAAAGCTAACAATCTTCTCTAGAATTACTTGTTATTGTCATCATTATATTTCTCCCTTTAGTTCCCTATGACTAAAATTTTCTGGTTGACATTTTTTCTGTAATGCGTAATTTTTGCCTGGGTTCTCAATTTTCTTTAATAATATTATGGACATCTCAGGCCTTTCTCTACAAAAATACATAGACATGAATTTTCTTTATGCTTTAAAATGATTCATAGGTACTCTGGAATCCATGTGCCATAGGTTAAGAAATTAATAATAGAAATAGAGCTGAGGTGGCAGACAGACATTATTTTTCTTACAGCCATTTTTTGTAAGTCTTATGAGAACAACATTAGCACTGAAGATGAGGTGATTTTAATAGTAGTTGAAGATATGGTGAAAATACTTCGGACATCTTTGAACAGTTCTATGGCTCTAAGATAATGTTTGCTTTTGGCCCTGGGCTGTACTAGCATGGCTCCAACAAGCTCTACAATTTGATATTCTAATATTTGGTAAAGTAGTTTGTTCTTGATGTAAATGGAATGCATGCTCTGCAGTCTTGAAAGATTAACCGGTACTCACATGTTATGTGCCAGTACGTGATTTTTTAAAGCATTTACTTTAATATTTTACTTATCTTTTGTATTGAGAAAGGAAAAAATACATTAGTGGTTTTTTTTTTTTTTTTTTTTTTT